AACCTGACCGAACACTGGTGAGGTCTCATATTAAGACCTACCTAGTGGCGATAAAAGCGGCGAAAACTAATTATTTTGCCGCTCTTATCGCGTCATCAGATAATCGCCCGGCCGCCCTGTTTAGGGTGACCCGCTCCCTCCTCCATCTGGAAGTGCGGGATGACCCCTTGCAGGGTCGAGCTGAGGATTTTGTGCAGTATCTGTATGACAAAATCGCTCAGATTCGGGAAGGGCTGGCCTCTGACTGGGTATGTCCAGATGGGATGACTGAGGCAGGTCTTGAGAGTGTTATCTGGGGGGAGTTCGATCCTGTGGCTCCCGAGGACATGGACAGGGTCCTGGGACGGCTGAACGCGACCACATGTTTATTGGACCCGTGTCCCTCCTGGTTGGTACTGGCTTCCCGGGAGGTGACACGAGGCTGGCTCCAGAAGATTGTTAACGCTTCTTTGAGTGAGGGAGTCCTGCCGGCCGCTTTGAAAGAAGCGGTGGTGAGGCCCCTCCTCAAGAAGCCTTCTCTGGATCCGGCTGTTTTGGCTAACTATCGTCCAGTCTCCAACCTTCGCTTCATTGCGAAGGTTGTTGAGAGTGTGGTGGCGCAACAGCTTCCCCGGTACCTGGATGAAGCTGTCTATCTAGACCCGCTCCAGTCCGGCTTCCGGCCTGGGCACAGCACGGAAACGGCATTGGTCGCATTGGTGGATGATCTCTGGAGGGCCCGGGATAGGGGTTGCTCCTCTATCCTGGTCCTGTTAGACCTCTCAGCGGCTTTTGATACCATCGACCATGGTATCATGTTGCACCGGTTGGCGGGGTTGGGGGTGGGAGGCACCGTTTTGCGGTGGTTCTCCTCCTACCTCTCTGACCGGTTGCAATCTGTGTTGACAGGGGGGCAGCGGTCGACCCCGAGGCACCTTGCTTGTGGGGTGCCACAAGGGTCGGTCCTCTCGCCCCTTCTGTTCAACATTTATGTAAAGCCGCTGGGTGAGATCATCCGTGGCTTCGGGGTGGAGTTCCATCAGTACGCTGATGACACCCAGCTGTACATCTCCACCCCAGGCCACCCCAATGATGCCCTTAAAGTGATGTCCCAGTGCCTGGAGGCCGTGCGGGCCTGGATGGGGAGAAACAGGCTCCAACTCAACCCCTCCAAGACCGAGTGGCTGTGGCTTCCGGCGTCCCGATATAGCCAGCTGACGCCATCGCTGGCTATTGGGGGCGAATCACTCGCCCCCACGGAGAGGGCTCGTAACTTGGGCGTCCTCCTGGACGCACGGCTGTCGTTAGAAGATCATTTGGCGGCCGTGGCCAGGGGGGCTTTTTATCAGGTCCGCCTGATACGCCAGTTGCGCCCCTTTCTAGATCGGGACTCCCTACGCACAGTCACTCAGGCACTCGTCACTTCCCGCCTGGACTACTGCAACGCTCTCTACATGGGGCTCCCCCTGGGGTGCACCCGGAGGCTCCAGCTGGTCCAGAACGCGGCCGCGCGGGGGATTTTGGGGGCGACGAGGCGCTCCCACGTGACACCTCTCCTGCGCGAGCTGCACTGGCTCCCGGTGGTCTTCCGGGTGCGCTTCAAGGTGTTGGTGACCACCTTTAAAGCGCTCCATGGCTTAGGGCCGGGGTACTTACGAGACCGCCTTCTGCCACCAATAGCCTCCCACCGGCCAGTACGCTCCCACAGAGTGGGCCTCCTCAGGGTGCCGTCCGCCAGACAATGTCGGCTGGCGACCCCCAGGGGGAGAGCCTTCTCTGTGGCGGCGCCCACCCTCTGGAACAACCTCCCCCCAGAGCTACGTACAATAACAGACCATCGGATTTTTCGTCGGGCCCTAAAAACCCATTTATTTCAACTAGCTGGGCTGGCTTGAGTCAAATTTTAAACGGATTTTAAATTGGAATGTTTTAATTACGGCCAAAATTATTTAATTATTTTAAACAGATTTTAGATTTTGTATGTTTTGTATGTATGTCTTGTTTTTACTTTGGCTGTTCACCGCCCTGAGTCCTACATTGGAGAAGGGCGGTATAGAAATTTAAACAAAATAAATAAATAAATAAAATATCTGCTTGAAATCATATTCAACTGAAATCAATGAGATTTACTCCCAAGTAACTACAGCAACTACTATACCAGTTCTTTGATTAAACCTACTCTTGCTAGTTCTCTCTAATATACTGAACTAGTTCTCTATCTGAGTTAATTTCAACATAAACACTTGAAAATTTAATTTAGCATAAATGGCAATCATAGCAAAAATATGTAATCATATACTAATATGCAATTCTGATATTAAATATAAAATCCAGAAGAGTTAGAATTTTCCTAATAATATGACTTACTGCATGTCTTTTACATATTGCCCTAAAATAATTGCCATAAAAATACTATGTGATTTTTTTCCCAATTTGCACACATTTCCATTTTTTTCATGTGAGAATTACCAAGGAAAGACTTCACTTGCATAATAATGAAACACTGTAAAAAAGCAGAAAAGGAAGAAAAGAACAAATATCAACAATGTTACTTTCATAATATAACTTATTTCAAGGAATGTTTCACATAGGATTAAAACATGTTTTCATTTTTACAAGATAAAAGCTGCTATTTCCATCCCTTTTTATTCACCATCGAAGCTATTTTTTATATTTACAATTACTGCTTTAAATACACGAACCTCCCTCTAGTGGGCACTTCGAATTATAGAAAAACAATATATCAGCTACAGTTGAATCAGAAAGTAAATTTCATATACAGGAAGTCCTTATTTAGCAACCAGAACTGGGACCAGCAACCTAATCATTAAGTGAAATGGTCGCTAAATGAAACTGACTGTGCTTATGATCTTACTTCAGTTTTCCTTACAGTCTGTCGTAACTGTGAATAATGCTAAATAAGATAGTCACTAAATAAAGATTTACTTTACATTTAATAATAATCCATGTGTCACATTAACACTGGAACATTATTTAAAATCTGTAGTGGCTAAATTCATGTATTTTATTAAACTAAATTCAAACTACACTGAAGTTTAATCTAATATATAAACCCAGCAAATGTATATTCAATGACACCTCTCTCTTCCAACATGTCCCATTCTACCTGTGAGATAAATTGGTTTGAAAAGTTCCCAGAAAGGAAAAACATTAAAGAAATCTCCTTGCATTGATTAAAGTTTTCTCACATTATTTTGGATCCAAGCATACTTATTAAAACAAGGATTTGCATTGTATTTTAAAGTTTTGCCCCTCAAATCAAGGTGCCATTTCAGAATAGTCTTAACATAAAAACTATAAGAAGTTTAAATTATTTATTTACTTAAAGTGACTTTTCCTCGCAATATAGTTAGACAAAGCAATAACACTAGCAATAGCATTTAGACTTATATACCGCTTCATAGTGCTTTTACAACCTTCTCTAAGCAGTTTACAGAGTTAACTGCCCCCAACAATCTGGGTCCTCATTTTACCCACCTCAGAAGGATGGAAGGCTGAGTCAACCTTGAGCTGGTGAGATCTGAACTGCTGAACTACAACTAGCATTCAGCTGAAGTAGCCTGCAGTATTGCACTGTAACCACTGCGCCACCTCGGCTCTTCATTTTCCATTATAGATGGTAAATACATCAGAGTCTGACAATATATGTGAACTAATTCTTCCAAAAAATTCTCCAATAAGTTGTTGCTCAGCTGTTAAATGAGCTTAGAATAGTACAGCTGTTATGGAGAGGATGAATTACAGTAAGATGAACTCCCATGAAAATGTGACATCCTCTTCAAGAAAGTAAGATTTTCTATAGTTTAACAATCAGATGCTGTTAATAAGTGCCAATATCTTAATTAGTAAGGCTTTGCAGCTCTTTGGATACAAAGGAGAGTAGGTGCTTTAGAGCAGGGATCCCCAACCCTTAGGTCTTGGCCCACTATTGGCCTGTGGCCCATTTGGAACCAGGCCACGGAAGCAGCAGCTGTGGGAGCATGCATGTGCGAAGCCCATTGCTTGTATAAATGGAGCTGCACATTCCATTTACGTGGAACCATCCACTCTCCCTCCCCTGCCAGTCTGCAAAGCTGGAAAGGTTGGGGAACGCTGCTTTAGAGTACGTAAGAGTGCTCAAAAGCATCTATCAGCAACTCCGTAAAGCAGCTGCATCTTTTCCCGGGATCATGCAGATACAGCACATTTTCTGGAAAAATAAGTTTGGATCTAAAGAATTCCTGATCAACAATCTGTACATGCCCCGTGTAATACAAAGCGATTTGAAATTTGAAAAGCTGAACATCCCTATTACATTTTTTTAAAAACTGAAATACTATAGATCTCACTTAACAATTCCCGTCAGCATGGTACTGAAAAAATAAATTTATGACAAGTCCTCATACTTATGACTGTCAGTGTCCCACAGTCATATGATTACCATTTGAATGCTTCACAACCAGCTCCCAACAAGCAAAGTTAATGGAGAAGCTGACAGTAAAAATGCAAGTCGCAGTCACATGATGTTTTGCTTAGAGACCGTGATTTAACAATACAGCCTGAAAACAATGTGTTAAATTTGCAATAGTCATATATCACTTAGCAATCCCAGAATTTAATAATAGAATTGCCAGTCCCAACTATGGTTGCCAAGTGAGGATTATCTGATCAATCTTCTAGACTAGTGCCCTACATCAAAATCTCTTTTTCATTTATTACTTCCTCAAATAACAACCTTTGCTTTCATTCAAGGAGAAAATAGCCACATGTTTTGGGTACAAAAATTAATTAAAGGGAAACTCATAAGAGAAATAACCCTTTTCCCAGCCCCAAAAAGGCTTTTGGAGTCACGATTTTATTATGTATTTAATGGTATTTTTTGTTATTTAAAATACTAACTACCCCTTGGTCCCCAAATCCCTATTTACAACCCTGTAATCCCTTAATTCAAAGTAGAAATGTTCAAAATAACTACATCTACTTGATTCCAAGCTCTTACATAAACCACATACCAGTCAGAATAAAAAAAAAAACATTTTATTTTCCTGCCCTTAATGGGAAATTAATTTTGTTTTTACAACGAAGTCATGATTTTAATGTACAAAACTATTATTAAAGATGCCACATCCTTGAAAAGGAAGCTATGTTATATTTAAATATCACTATGAAATATAAGAACAGAAATTTAACAAATTTCAGAACATATTCTAGGAATATGTTTCAACACAGAATATGCAACAAAACTTCTTGCAGTGATGTCAAATGAATATTTATACTTCTGGTCCTTCTCCTCCAGGAACCAACTGTTTGGAGAAAAAAGAAGTGAGAGTTTTGTTTTGGAAGGGAGATAAAAATAAAAATAAAAATAAAATAAAAATAAATCCTGCAGTCTGTTGCTGTCGCCATGCAAACCCCAGCACAGCAATAGCAGCTGTGCCTTCTCCCTTCCAAAACATGCCAGGATGTGATCTGAATAAGACCCAGTTTGACCTGCTATTGAAACACCTCCTGGCTCTTTCCCGAAGGAAGGGTGGCTCTTTTCTACATTTCGCTGCCTTCCTTGCAGTGCAAGGGGTGGCAGGCGAGCTCGTTTTAGACGCGCTCGCCACTCGGTTGCAGAACTGGGACCGCTGCAGGCGGCAATGGCAGCAGGCAGAGGCAAGGGGCTGCCCATTCATGTCTAGCAGCCATTGCAAGCACATTTTGGCAGCTGCTAGAAGCACATTTTGGGAAAGAGCTGAGAAGTGTTTCAATACTGGTAGCAGGTCAAGCTGGATTTTTTTCAGATCACATCCCAGCATGTTATCCCTGTAACAGCATCCCTGTATTGCCTGGGATGTGATCTGAATCACACCTGACTTGACTCTACTGTATTGGAACACTTCCCAAAAAGGGGAGATCAAACGGGAAGGGCACCCAGACTTGCGGCACTTTGTTTTGATTCAGGTACGTTGCTGGCTTGGAAGGAGCAGCTTTTACATTTGCACACCGTGTCTTCTGAGAGGTCTTCCAGAGAGGTAGGCGAGCCCCTTGTCCTTAGGTTCTCCAAGGGGCTCATCCGCCTCTCCACAAGGCCTCTGAAGAGACACAGCATGCAAATCAGAACAAAGCACTGTGAGTATGGGCACATTTTCTGCTTGTTCCCCTCTCCTCTCTATCGCCCCCTCGGAACTGGGGGGGGAAGGGCCATCAAGGGGACACTCCCGGGGAGATGACAAAGCAGCTCCGCTGCCAGAGCCCAGGCACTGCTACTGACTTGGAAGGAACAGCTTTTACATTTGCAGGAAACTGTGTTTGCTGAGAAGTTTTGTGGAAAGGACAATCCCTTTGTCCTTAGCTTCATGGCTTCTCCCCCACCCTTTCTCCTCTGCTTCAGCCCAGCTAGGCCTCCATCTCCCTCCAAGGAGGGAGGCCATGTTCAAAGGGAGGGTTGGGACAAATCTGCAAGAAACAGACCCTTCCTTCAGTCCGAGTTCCTGCAAGCCCGGGAAGCAGCTGGCGAAGAGGCAGTCCTCGAGTGACCATTCCCCCTTCTCCTTCCCCTTGCTTGAGGTGAGGGATGAAAAGCCCCATCGTTTCCAGCTGCCATCCCATTGTCTTTATGGAGTTTTCGGCAGAGCTGGACCAGGTTGGATGGCGGGGGCCAAGCGCACAGAGACCACAGCATGGTGCCACCCCTGCTCCACCATCTGCCTTGCCTCATGGCGGCGGCACCAACAGGCAGAGGCAGAGGCGCGGGGGGGGGGGGGAGGCACGTCCAATGTGCTGGATCGCATGCCTCCCCCAATCTCCCCACGATTCTGATGGTGCCATCCCCATGAGGTGAGGTTAATGGTGGGGTGGTGGTGGTGCCACATGGCCCTGCGCTCTCGGCCCCCACCATCCAATCTCGTCCTCCAACTCCGCAAGCGAAGACAGACGATGGGACAGAGGTGTGCTTCGGCTTGGAGCGACTGGGCTGCGCAGGCTGCAGCTGCTTCTAGATACCATTGGCCCCCACATTGGCCCCCATAAGGAGCCTGAGTGGCGTAGGAGGCTAATGCCTCCTAAGACAGCATTTAACATCCAGCTGCCTGCAATTACTGCGAGTTCAATTCTCCCCAGGCTCAAGGTCGACTCAGCCTTCCATCCTTTCTAAGGTGGGTAAATTGAAGACCCAGTTTGTGGGGGCAATAAACTGACTTTGTATAAATATATAGAAGTATGAAGGCTATTGCTTAACTCATTGTAAGCCGCCCTGAGTCTCCGGAGAAGGGCGGCATATAAATCAAATTAAATAAATAAATAAAAACATGAACTCTCTCCGCCTCCTGTGCTGGTCACGCCCACCTCCCCACCCCCGCCAATGACACTCTGAACTAGGGCTTTTTTTGGGGTAGGACTTATATTGTGATTACCGTGTTTCCCTGAAAATAAGCCCTAGCAGGGTTTATTTTCGGGGGTTATTTTCGGGGAAACACGGTAATATAATTTTACCTCCCTGAAGCAGGAATCCTTAACAATGTCAACATTCATTCTTGCTCCAACTTGTTGCATCAATATACCCTAATTATATTTTTCTAATGATATTATTTTCCAAATGTTGATCAAGACAATAAAAATACCAGTCTTCCATGAGTTGTTTGAGCTGATAAGTAACAATTTAAGGAAGAAACTACAGAACACAAATTATTTACCATAGTTATATTGTTTCCATTCAGTAGAATCTGATCCAGCTTTGTGATTCTTCTTCCTTCAGGTGTTATTTCACTGTTGAACATGATTAAAACAAAGAATATGTTAACAAAAAAAGAAAACTATTACGTTTTCAACTGGAACGCTCAGGTAGAGGTGGAAAGAAAACCTCTTTATTTTTTACAATTTTAATTCAACTATTGGCTTGCTTAATAAATCAGTATCTCAAAGTGTCATATTGAGATGGGATATTCCTATCTCAAGTTACAATACCATAACAATATTTTACTCTTTAATAATATATGTACCAATAATTATCTAAAAGATCTACATCATTCAACCAGAAATCCATTCAATCTTGATAGTCTAATGTCTTTGAACTCTCTTGTAATGTTGATGTTGTCCCAATATTTATGTTCTCAAGAAATTTTAACTAACATGCTTCTTTGTAGACAAAATATTCCTCAAGATCAGATTTCCAGAATTAAAAAAATATTGCACTGTAATAAGTGTATTAATTGAGAAGGACAGAATAGAATGTAGGTTTTTTTTTGTTTTTTGTTTTTTTTTAAATTTGATTTATATGCCGTCCTTCTCCGGAGACTCAGGGCGGCTTACAATGCATTAAGCAATAGCCTTCATACTTTAGTATATTTATACAAAGTCAGCTTATTGCCCCCACAAACTGGGTCCTCATTTAACCTACCTTAGAAAGGATGGAAGGCTGAGTCAACCTTGTTGGCAAATATATATGTAAACTTTTAAATGCAGAAAATATTGTGCACTACTTTTTAAATATGTATGAAAATGTAATTAAAACATGCTATTCAAAATAATTATCAGCCAATACTGAAAGTTTATTAGCTTATGTATTGTATCAGAGAAATCAAAATCTACTATATTAGAGAAATAAAACAGCAACTTTAGAAAAGGGCAAAAGTAGACAATTGTTGATCCAAAAAAACAAACAAACACAAAATCTGTTGAGGTTGCAAGCCAGAGAAGCAATACTTACAATTCAGTGACATCTTCCAATACCATGTCTGGAATTTGTTGTTAAGAAAAATATAATAAGTCACCACAAAGGTATTAACTTTTCCTGTATTCAGAAAATAAATTCTAACAAAATTAAAGTTGTTTTTATAATATCAAAAATGTTAACTTAATCTGCATGTCTTGACAGCCTTTCAACTACTCAATATATACAATATTCAGGCATGGCCTTGAAAGATAACTTTGATATATTTTATATATTCTGGTTAACATTATAGACATTCCTGGACTTACAATTATTCATTCAGCACCTGTTCAAAATTATGATGGTGCTGATGAAGGAATCTATTACCTCTATCTAAAGTTCTAACAGCTGCACTGCCCTCATTTTCTGACTGTTGAAACACTTCAACTCCCCCTTTCCTATTATGGACCTTAATGTCTTACCCGGTTGGTAATACGCAGAAATCTGCTGCAGGCTGCAAATCCTTGACCAGCTAGGTCCACTGTTGCATGGGCCTCCTCCTCCCACCCCACCAGAGGCCTGAGCCTTCTCTCTTCTCACTATGCTTGGGTTACTTACTTTCCTTGCAGTTGCTGATAGGCATAACCAGCCAATTCAAGGCACAACCTGGAGTGAACCTGGAAGTGATGGGGCAGGGAGAAGGAATCTTGGGAGTGTTGGGGCTGGAAAGGAGGAGGCCATGCACTATTGAGCCTAGCCAGTTGAATCCTCTCAACTCATGACAGGTCTCCATGTGCTGGTGGGTTATGGGCCTCCCTCATCCCTTAAGGTACCCATGCATGGTCACTTAAATGACTGCAATGGAGAGAACTGGCATTGTGGTCATTGAGCTAGGTGATTTTGAAGGTGTCTCACTTAATGACCACAGCAACTTACAATCAAAATTTCAGACTCATTCGTGGCTAAAGGACTACCTGCATATAGAGCTTCCAAATCATTACATAAGAACTTCTCACAAAATCTAAATACTCAAGAGTTACAGATATTTGCAGATTGTGATTTCATCTTAATTTACAAAAACTCTTTCTAGAGAAACAACAGTTGAAAAAGTTAATTTTAAAAACTAGAGAAAAGCTTCTAAATAGTTATAGAAAGGATACTGACAAAATCATCAAATCCTAGGAGTGTGCCCACAATTTCTTTATCACTTTTCATTACAATGTGAATACGAGACCCTATACACTTGTCCACCAGTTCTGTAGCATAGAAAAAGAGGTGTTAATATTTAAAAAGAAATATCTCCCAAATAGTTTACATTCAAAACACTGCATTTAAAATTTCTAGATCTTGACATCAAATTTTAATATAAATGCTATTATTATATCTTATTACCTTGATGTATTTTCTGGTTGTCTGGGAAAGAATGGATTTAAAACAAAAAATCAAAGTTTTCATTTTTGAATTATACACATTTTTGTATAATAGTCAGAAATGACAGTAAAAACGACAGCACAATGAAATAGGTTATAATGTAGGATGGCAAAATCCAAAGTACTCTCCACTTGACCATTCCTGTGATTGCTACAATAGGGGAAAAATGCAAGCGATACTGTAGATTGGTTTGAGTTCTCAAAAGTAAAAGAAGAATATGCATTCAAAATTAATTAAATAAGACTAAGCAATTACACTTACAGTAAACTAATAGTGATATATGAAACTGCACATAACTAATTCTTTCTTCATTATCTATGATTTGCATTATAAGAAGACTGCTGCAAAATCATTTACAGCTCTGTGATGAAGGCCATTTCATTTGGGGTACTGCAGTTCAGATGAATGAATATTTTCCTTTATGTATGGGTCTGAGTGGGTAAGTGTATATAAACAGAGAGGGGAAAGGAGATAGAATGTCAAAGGAGCCAAGGATAGTCTTATAACCTAGGAACCTACCCATTCATGATGAGTAGGAACAAAGATATTCCACTTTATTCTTGGAAAAGAATGAGAGCAGTCAGCCTATAAACTATTATACCATACTGCAATTTTTATCCATGACCATGAGCTCACAAGCAAAGCTTCTTTCTTTCTCTACTATTACTCTACTGGGAAGCCATTATATATTGAAGCAGTGCATTTATAGTGTTTACTCTTTGTTTCCCTTTTGAGAAAATGTTGCAAAAAGCTGGCTATCAAAGAACCAGTGTTTCAGGCATCAGCTATCTAGAGCTTCAGTTGCTTTGTTTTTTCCAGCAGAAAAAGACAAAGGAATGCCAAAAATGGTTCATAGGGAAAATCTCTTTCAAAATGTTCAAGATAGTTTAATGTGGGTCCCTTTTAGGAGCTAGATGAACCTAGACAGAATTTCAGAATGGAGTTGTGACTTTAGCCCTGAGCAATCCAGCTTCCCTATCCCAAATCCTGATTTAGAATGGTATGCTGTTATAATAGTCTATTTTTCTTACCCACCCTATTCACCTTAAAATCTACTCAGGTACAAAATGTTAAACTACTGTATTCCATGAAACCAAACAACACAATTATCACTCTTGCTCCAATTATTCTTTAAAATCTTATCTTTTCCACATGTTACTATACTGAATATCAAGAGATTTTGCTGAAAGAAGAAACATTGTAACTTCAAGCTCGAGTTTAGGAATAATAAACTTGTATCCTATCAAATTGGGATCCCTTTATTATATTTTACAATACTTTATTGTGTGTTTATAATATAAAATGTAATATCTTATATTTGTAAAATGCTTCCCATTAAGTATCCTTAAATACTTACTTTCAAAACCTAATTTCAAAAAAATGAAAGAAAGAAAATAGGAGAAAGCAATTAACTGTCACCTATAATAGGATACTGCCCTCTCTTGCTAGCTCTTGAGCCTCATCGGCTCAAACCTTAGAATGAAAATAGCCGAATGGGAGAACTATTCTTTTTATCTGTGCAGTTTTTCACTTTTCTTTCACTGATAAACTATCCCATTCTATCAGCAGCCTGATATAATCAAATATTTTCCCTTCGTTCTCTCTTGCTTAAAAACCACTTCAATTTCAGCAGCTTTATCCAACTTGGAGCCCTTCTGAAGCGTTACTGAGACAACAGTCAACATTAGGCCCTTGGCGGGAGGTACGGAAGGCTGGATCCAATCGTTAAGGGGACCATGCCCATGAAAAGCATTCATGGTTTCGATCCCGCATCACAAGCTAGACTTTTTCTATACCCTGTGCCATTTGCAAACAGCACTCCATCAACCCCACTCGAGTTTTCCGATTTGCGCGACGCACCACCCACACATGCGAGCATGACTTTCATTACCAAGCGGCAAAAGCTGGGACGGGTTGGTAGTCGCGTTGGCCGCCATTCTTCAAGAAGATCTAGCCAATCAACTCCGCTTCCAAATATTGGAGTTGTTGCGAGACTATTGGTCGGAACGGGGAAGCGGGAGACAGTGAAGCAGACACTAGAAGTCGAGAAGGAATCATCGAACTTCCAGAGCGAGGGAAAGGTACAGGAATCCCCGCGAGAAGCTGTTTGAACAGCTATCAATGTTCATTGCATAAAATAAAAGATACCGTCTTTAAACATAGCTGAAACTTACATCGCAGAAATGGGTAGTTGTTTTATGCCTGTTATTTGGGAAATAATAATAGAGGATGTACATATTGAGTTAAATTAGACGAGCGCCCAATACGCAATTTGCGCGCTTGCCGGTATACCCAAACTGTAATAGAAAATGGTTGCTGATCCAGATCCAGATCCAAATCCAAAAATTGGGGGGGGGGGGGGGGGCCGAATAATCTGTCGAATATGTTTATATTATAGAGCACGCCAGAGAAGTGTAATTTCGAGACATATTCTAATGTCGAAAGGATGAATGTGTTTATAATTGGTATTATTCCTTACTTGCTAGTTGTAGTTCACGAAGTCGGCATCCAACGCCAACTAGAAATGTCATTCTACGTAGATTTTGCCTTGAAAGTTTTGCGGGTTTGTTTTTTTTTCAACAATGAGTTATATTTATTTATTTCGTCAAGCATGTATTTTATGACAGATACAAGTGTAAACATAATTATAAATACATGAAAAGGATACGAATAAAAGAAAACATTAGGACAGGGACGGTAGCACGTTGGTGCGCTTGTGCACGCCCTTTATTTGTCCTGGACGAATTGTTAATATGCCCATGTTCAGCCACTGTGCTCTTCTAGCATCTTCTTTTTGAAGCATTTGCATCATTCTGCCTAATATATTTCTATCTCACATGGGTTTTTTTAAGCTTGCCTTTTTTCTCTTCTGGCCAGGCTCTCTATTTGTCACAAATTGTATGCCTGATGACACTACTTGAAAGACAATTTTTCTGAGAACTTTTTTGACTTAAGATCAGAGTAGAAATGCTTTAAAAATGCTGAAAATGTTTGCAGTTTTTCATTAGAAAAAAGTGAGCCTGATTAGCTCCCAAATTTAATAAGACTAGAATAAATTTGTTCCACCTATCAGATTTTGTTCTTTATATAACAATAAGCAATTGTGTCTATTTTTCATCTGACAAGTACCAAATATTCCAGCTTCATCCTTTTGCCTTATGAGAAGCAAGAGGAAAGACCCTGGATTAAAAGAAACCAATGAAAAAGTATCCTTATTCAATCCTCTTTTAGCACCTCAGCAAATTCTAAGGGGCAGCAAACAGTCCCCTAAAAGATTCATCCCAAAATAATTTTTCTCAAATTGCAGCCACTAATTTCAACTTCCCATCTCCAAAACTATTTTTTAGAATTGCTCTTGATTACATATATTATGAAAGAACTTAAAACATTTTCAACAGCAGACCTTCCTAATTTTCAATAGAAACAAAGGAATGCTGAAATAAAGAACTCAGGAAATACTGACTCAAGAAAAATATATAGTCGTTGCTCCTACATCTATGGATTTTTTACAAGTAGTGCAAATGAATTTAAGAGACTAATGGAGTTTATATTAATGTATCATTTGATGTATCCTGAATTATGAATCATTCCAAAATCATTAAAACTTCAGTGACGTTAGTATGTCTAAATACTATAGACAAAAATATCCTGTGAATTCTATATGGAAAAATTATTTTACAGACAAGACAATTTTCATTAAACTATATACATTACTGGTACATAGAAATGTACAGTTTAAGAATATTTTCTTTCCATGGCTCAATTACACAATAAGCTGCAAATTCACACACCTATACATATAAATACATATATTAATCACTCTTCATCTTAGCCTACAATGTTGAACAAATCCAGCTTGTAAGAATGGTTTATGATTCAGAGTTTTAACAAAGAAATTTGGTTTACTGAAGAAATCATAGTTAACAATGAGCAAGCACATAGATTTTCTCAGACTAACTAATATTTTGATATATAAATAATCTTGGTTACTACTTTTCAGTATTTATGTGCTATTCACAGTTGTTTTCATAAAGGCTAGCAGCATTTTTTTTCATTTATTTAAAATAAGAGCAATATTAAATTTCTATGCCACCAATCTCCCCTACAAGGTGACCCTGGGCATCTTACAAATTGTGGAAACTAGTGAAATATAAACAAATAGTATTATGTTACTGATAAATATTGAATATATATAGCAATCTATGTTTGTCCTAAAATTGGTTTCTGAGGCTCTGATACAATATGGTATACTATTTTTTAAAGAGATAGTTTAGATTGAGTCTGCACTTTTTCAAGTAACTTTTGTTGTAGTTTATTTACTTAGATTTAAATATGTACTATTATTACTCAATAAATTATTTACTTGCTTTTTATGTAAGACTATTGTTAATATATTGGATTATTTTCCTGATTATAGAGCATTTAAGCTACTTGTCGGTGTTTCACTCTGTTATATTATTAGACTGAAACCTAAACTACATTGGGAAATCTAAGCAAATGCCGTACAATATAGCACTGTCGTTGTGAACGAATGCACACCGTTGAATCACACAAGGTCCTACTAAGCGTAGAATGGCCAGAGTTTCTGCTCCTTTAAGAACAAAGCACTGATCGATGGTTGCCAGGAGAGGTAATAGGGTAAAGAAACTCCTTCCTGTCATAACTTCCTTTTGCAGGCAGTCATTATATTGCTATAGTCAAGGGTCATTTTGGAGCGTCTATGTCCTAAAATAATCCTTCCCTCTGAAATTAACCCTTGTAGTTTAAGCTCTTCTTTGAAGATCTCCCCACCCGCTTGTGAGGTTTTTTTCACCCTCGAATCCACCGGAGCGGTCGACCGCCCGTTCCTTCGTCTTCTGTTGCTACCCGATCAGTCCAGATGAGTTGAGAAGCGACACTACTTCCACAGAAGCTACTGAGCGTGCTCAAACTCCCGGAGCATGCTCAGTGACAGCCAAACCAACTTCTGACGGGCGACGAGTTTCACACGTTCAGCAAAAGGAAACGCTCCTGGCCCCGCAGTAAACGGCTTCCTGCTGCAGGGGCGGCCGCGGCTGTGTGGAAACGTGTGTGCTGTGTGGGCTCCTAGATGGAGCGAAGGGCCAAAGGGAATCCCGAACTCTGCTCTCAAAGTGGCAGCTGTCCTAGGGGTCCAGTGCTACACATCGTGGTGGTCGGTTTCCATCACAAGAAGGGCTGCCAGGTGAGCGGCTGCCAGTTCGACTGGCTTCCTTGATCGATCCTGTCACTCTTGTGCTTCTTCCGCTTTCCAGCCATACTTCCTTCCGTATTACATCTCTTCTGGTGCTTGGACATCCCACTTTTCCTGTCACTCATCTTCTATGTATCATGGTCTTTTCATTTATTTCCATTTGCCCAGCTTTTCTAAAGCTAATGCCTTTCGTTGACTGAGACTACAATTTCCATTAGTCCCAACTCACCTTCCTATTTCTGTATTCTTATAGGCATATTATATGATGGGATATTATCAAAAATGCATATGCACATTTCTCTAAATGTGAGAAAAAAATGTATGTGTGTGCACAACCCTATACTGTAGGAGTATATAAATTTCTTATTCAAATGTCCAGATACCATGAAGCTTCAGGTCACTTAGTATTTCTAATCTACTTTTATCCTTACAGAACTTTCTGTTCACATCTTGTCCATACAAATCCAACTGTATGAGGAAATATGTCTAGACTGTAACTTTATAATTGTGATCATAATTTGTAAATATTCTTAGTAAGAAGTTGAATGAAACGTAATAACAATAGCACTTAGACTTATATACCACTTTATAGTGCTTTACAGCCCTCTCTAAGGAGTTTACAGAGTCAGCATATTGCCCCCAACAGTCTGGATCCTTATTTTACTGACCTATTGAAGGATAGAAGGCTGAGTCAACCTGAGTCAACCTGGTGAGATTCGAACTGCCAAATTGCAGGCAGCCGGCAGACAGCTGAAGTAGCCTGCAGTACTGCATTCTAACCACTACGCCACCACGGACAAACTTGTCAGAATGACATTAAATAAGTTTATGTTGTCTTAATATACTATACAACTATATCAGGACATTTTTATGAGAAAGATATAAAATAAAGGATTTTTAAAGGGCTATTATTCCACATGAACTACAGAAAAAGCATGCATACTGTATTTTTCAAAGTATAAGACGCATTTTCCCCCACCCCTAAAAGTGGGTGGAAATGTCTGTGCATCTTATGCAGCGAATGTTGCCGAAGCCCTGCCCACCTGCTGGCTCCCACCCTTTGGCTGTTTTCAGCTTCCGTGCATCATGTTTTCAGCCTCTGCACCCTCCATTTTAAATCAGTTCCAGACTGTGAGGATCGCCACAGCACATCGCTGCCTCCATGTGTCGCATCCTCCATGTGTTGCATTTTTCAGCCAGTTCCAGGTGTCAGGGATTGCCTGGAACTGGCTGAAAATATGATGCACGGAGGCCAAAAATGGGGCGTGCGGAGGCTGAAAACGTGACACGGAGGCAGTGATCGGCAGCAATTTACTGTGATAATCCCCACAGCCTGGAACAGGTCTAAAACAGAGCGTGCGGAGGCCAAAAACAGAATGCATGGAGGCCAAAAACGCAACACGCTGAGGCTGCGATGGGCTGTGGCAATCCCCGCAGCCTGGAACAGCTGATTGACGGTATTCCAGGAGACCAGTCCAACCACCAATCAGCTGCTCATGCTTAATCAGGCTGTGATAATGTGCTGAAGCTGACCAGGCTGTATGCTGTTGGCTGCAAGGACGCTAGCCAGATGAATACCGATCAGTGCTGGTAGCCAGAGGCAGAATTTTTTTTTTCTTGTTTTCCTCCCCAAAAACTAATGTGTGTCTTATACTCTGGAGCATCTTATACTCCGAAAAATACGGTAATTTAGTGACTGATGATCTGTTGCTGAAATTATGTAAAATTAGCTTTGATTGATTAAATGAATTGTATAACTAATCCAACAGTCTAAAAATCCCACTACAGGGTAAATTCTGATACTGCTACTTAAAGAAGCAACAGTATTCTGTAGGTTAGAATATACAATAATTGAAGAATAAGTGCAGGAATATAATACCTAATCAGTTATTCTGGCAAGTTTATTACTTTGAGGTGTACTATGATGCCATTCTCACTGTAGAAACACATTATTTTCATCTTTTATGAATGCATCCACTGACGGCTCCATCAGTATCTTTTAAGTGCCATTTGGTTTTCTTTTGGTTTTTTAGATAGTTTTAATTAAAATATTTTAATAAAACTTTAGCATGATGCAGAGATAGCATTCCGCTGAGGCCCACCTTTATTTGTAGAATATAAAAATAGGTGACTACAAGTATTTTTTTTAATGTGCTTATAAAACAAAAACTAGGTACAGGTAGTCTTCGACTTATAGTTTATTTAGTGACTGTCTAAAGTTACAACAGCACTGAAAAAAATGGCATATGAATGTTTTTCACACTTGCAACCATTGCTACAGCCCCATGGTCATGTGATCAAAATTCAGACATTTTTTGAGACCTGACAGGCAAAATCTATGGGGAATTCAGATTCACTTAACAGCCATGTTACTAACTTAATCACTGCAATAATTCACCGAACAACTGTGCCAAGAAAAGTCGTAAAATGGGGCAAAACTAATCTAACAAATATCTTGCTTAGCAACAGAAATTTGGGACTCAATTGTTGTAAGTCAAGGACTACCTGTAAACTGAAATGACAGAAACTCCTTATATGTTAGAAATTTCTCCTAGAAAAGCAGGGAACAAATTTACTACTTAAGGCTGTGACCCCTAAAAGAATATCCATAGGTTGCAATATAATACTGTACTTTGTATAAAGCAGATTTACTTTTCAGTAGTCATGCATAGCGTTTTTACTGCAAACATAAGTTGTGTTCATCAGGTGCTGAAAAATGACATCGAGTTGGGTTCAATTCCATTCAAATAAAAATATTGATAATTTTGTTTTTAAAGTGAAACTGGCATTATAAGAATGATAAGAAAAGGGCACAACCTTTTCTAAGTATTATGAAATAACGCTTTCATATCAGCTTAAATATTCACATTGAAGCTAAAGAGTGAATGGACAACATAGTTGAAGAAATTTAGGAAAATGAAAACAGTTTAAGACAGCAGTCCTCATCATTATTGACTAGCAACTACACAGCAACAAATCATCTAATCCTCATGTCAAATTTCTGAAATAATTCAAATATGAAAGTGCTGACCTTATAGCAAAAAGAGAAAGTTTGTCCCTCAAATATGGTTAGCTTAAAGAAGTCCTCTGTCATTGAACTACTTTGTGATACCAAACATTGGCACAATCTTCTCCTACTGAAATAAGGCAGATACCATTGTGGAAATAATCAGCTTTATAATTTGTAGTTTGAACAAAACTGTGGTATAACCATATCTGGAATATTGACTGCAGTTCTGATTTAAATGATTTTCATTTAATAAAGAATAAAATAGAGTTGAAAGGATAACCAAAATCATTAAAAGCATGTTTTAAACTCTTTAGCTTTGAAAAAGACAGTTGGAATAATCAACAATATTAGGCAGGCCATGAACCATTTTCTCTCATTTTTAAAATATTAGGATCAAGATCCATTCACTGAAGATGTTTGGAAGGATATTTAAAACAGAAAAAGAAAGCATTTTAGCACATTATCAAAGATGTGAATAGTAGCAAATATGGATGGCTTTAAAATGAGTTTGATAAATCTATAGACACAATTGTATCAAGAATTTTTGTCTTGGAAATTTAGTGTTCCCTCTAGATCAGCAATCCCCAGTTTTTCCAAATTGGCAGATCAGTAGGGTGGAAGAGGGGAGAGGGGATGGTTTTTGTAAGTGTAGCAGGGGTGTGTGCTTACTCGCCCAACTCCATATGTGTGAGTAGCACAAATGCCACTTGCACAAATGGAGCTCTGAGCACAAGCACCCAAAGCTTGCACAGCTCTGGAACTGTGCACACATTTGCATTCGTTCCACCATTCACGCAAGTGGAGCTGGGCATGTGCACTCAGCTGCCACTTGCATGGCCCAGTTCCAAATCAGTCACGGCCCGGGGGTTGGGAATCCCTGCTCTAGATGGAAGGCTGTTGCCAAGTAGCAGTTGTAAGGTAGAGCAGTGTCATATTTTCTGTTTGTGAGAATCTTGGAAGCATCTGGGTCAGGGGTCGGCAACCTTAAACACTCAAAAAGCCACAAAGGTCTAAGCGGAAGCCCTCCATTCAATTCTGGAGCCGACTGGAAGTCCGGTTCCCCCCACCATAGTCTCCTCCTAGCGCGGCATCCTTTTTCCTCTACCTGTCCTAACCAAAAGCCCTATCAATTGTGGCAACACGGAGCCACAGGAGAGGGATGAAAGAGGCACATGCGGCTCCAGAACTGCGGGTTGCTGACCCCTGATCTAGATGCTTGCAAGATTAGTAAATGCAAGATTAAGGTGACCTTTGACCTGATTCAATTGGACTGTTCTTTTGCCAAACATTTGTTGAGAAAAAAAATGGAAGCAATGTTTTGTCTCTGCTTTAAATAAAATATGCTGGTTATATATTTGTTGAAGTGCTCTAGTGCTCTGAATCATTGCATTAATCATTCTAAACAACAGGGATGAACAATTTTATGTGTGACAATCCAAGGCAGATTTAATTTCATCTTAATTAACTTTATAATGTTTAGGTTTAAATGGAGGCATTTGTTTACTGAAGTTTTTTGACAGACACATGCTGAATTGAAGTCTAATGAAGATATTTGTATAAGTGCACAAATTTATGTAAGATCTTCTAGACCTGGGATTTGAACACACCTTAAAATGGTGCAGTGCTTGCCTGAAATTGTTTCACTATAGTGAGTAAAATATATCTTTTAGATATTTCTATGTTCCACTATTATTGTGTGGAGTTGCTAGCATTGATGAGGATTTATTAAGCATTCTTATGGCAGGAAATGGTGAAGGGAGCAAAGATTTGTGGAATTTTGTATCATATTTATTTTTCACTCTTGGAAGAATGAAACTAAAGAGAGGGTATTTTGTCATTATAGATGATGCTATATAGATTGGGTTAGGCAAATGATAATTTTTCATTTTTTGAGAGACTATTAATCTGAATAATTATTTATAAAATTTATTGGCCGCTTAACTTACCATAGGGTAACTGTTTTTGACCTCCCCGGCTCTGC